CATTTGTTGTAGTGGTGAAATCTATATGTCTGCTGCTGCTAAATGTCTGAGGCTTAGTTGCGTACTGAAGACAATCATTCAACCATTGATGTTATCATCTTCAAGAAGGAAAGGTTGTCTGGTAGTTGTTTCAGCCCAATCACCATTGATTGTAATATCTGCTACTGATGTTGGTAGTGCAGGTAATGTCTTGTGTCTCTCGTTATACAGCTGGTCTTTGCAGAAATAGAAGGTTGGTATGTATTCTACAAGTTGTTGTGCATCATCATTCCATTCATTGCAACGAAGTTTCACCAATTCTTCTTCATAAATAGTAGTGCTTGGTGTGAGCTTATCTTTGCAACGGGTTTTCATGAGTTTAAGTACTTCTTCTACTTTAAGTTGCATTTTGTCGGATTGATGATTGTGGTTAGCAATCACTTTGGTTAGCATGTTGTTGAGTGTGTTGACGCTTGCTGGGCAGTTACGGGTAGAACACTTCCAGTGACGTCTGTCTCCACGTCTGGACTTCATTTTGGTTGTCTAGTCTGTAGTAAATCTGATATCTAACTGTGCATTAGCCTTGATGAACTGAGAATGAATTCAACAACATTAAATTATAGTCTGTGTTTCACCATTAATTTTATCTAAATTATAAATTAATTTTCTTCACTTTCGACAGGTAAATTTACCTGTGATTTGATTAGACACTAATGAATAAAACAACATATTTTGCAATAACAACATCTATAATTTCCATGTAGGATAGGACCGGTGCTTTGCTTTTGCGCCAATTGGCATTTTATTTGCGCCACAACCCATATTTCATTTGCGCCAAAAAAAAACCATTTCATTTCAGGTGATAATACAGTTAAGAAGTTTAAAAAATAGATTTATACAAAAAAGAAAAAAAAATCATAATGAAAGCACTATACACACTGATACGTTCTTAAAAAGAGACTTCATAATAATGTAAAAAGACAGTTCTGCTAAGCACTATACACTGAAGTAAAACATTATTCTGTTCTAGCACAACACTTGTAAGAAGTCGCCTCTTAAGTGAAAACTATATTTCTACAAACGACAGTCCATTTTGTCTTTCTCCCATCGTCGAACTGCAGTCGGTGTGTTCATAATGGATCTCATTTTTATGTACGTTGTTGCCTTAAACTTCTTTACAACGTCCACGTAAAATAAAAATGTTTGGATGAACTCACTTAATTACCCAGGGGGATACTTTAAAACAATTCTCATTAACTATATAGCAATGAATATATAAACTTTTCCGCTATATGTTACCTGTAAAATGGCGCAAATTATTTTTTTTTATATTTTTTGGCGCAAATGAAAGATTGGATTTTTTAAAAGTTGGCGCAAATTCAATGGAATAGACAGAATATGAAAATTCAAAATGTAGGAATAGCCAGTAGTCTGAAGACACCAATCTTATCAATAAACGAACTATTCTTTGTAGATTAAAATTTCTTTATAATTATCTGATTGCAAATTTAATTGCTGGAACTAATATAAATGAAAAAATTGAATATGCCAGATATACTTTTGGAACTGAAGACGAATAAAGCTATGTCAACTTTCTCCTTGATAACATCGATGTACGTTTCGGCAATGCAGTTTTTTGACAGGTTGTAGGTATTATTCACACGGGCACTTATTGTGTCCCTATTACATCATATTTGTACGTTTCTGTATTGTTATAAGTCACAGCTTATGGCCAAACTCAGTGAAGATTATTTAAATTCCATTTGATTAAAAAGTTTGATAACATCTTTACCTTGATGGTATTTTTGCCTTTAATAAGCTAAAATTTCCAATAACACCGTGAAAATTTATAGAAGGGAACTGACTTACAGTAAACATTTGACTATATAATAAAATACTAGTAAACAGCAATAATGTTCCTTTTCTAGATATGGAAACTCCATACACAAATTTACGACCGAAAAGAAAAACGTTCGTTCCCTTTTGTTAATTTTCCATCTTTCGACGATGGCGTTCCTTTTGTGTATATTTCTTAACTTGTTCGCTCTGCCCGTGTCCAAATTGACGTTATAGATTAAAATGAACGTAATCTATGTCTAACTGGAAAGTTTATCCGTTATTTAGTCTAGAATTTCGTAATAAAATACTTAAATTCTTCACTCAATTCTTTCATTGTTACAAAAATTTGGTTTGGAAATTTGACAGTATCTATAGAAAACTTATAACAAACAGGATATCACATCCTAATATTTACGGCGATGATGTTTATTGAGTCCGTATATTAAGATACGATCCATATTAACTCATAGATTCTTTCAGTAATCTTCTACTTAAAAGGTTACCAATTTAATACTGTAATAAGATTTTAGAATTTTGTCGGTATTAAAATGCATTGACTTTGTTTATAATAAAATTAAAATATAACTAAATATGTATTTCTAAAGAACTTATGGTCTTACATCGTGTTTCTACTTTATTTTTGCATCACAAAAGAGTATGATTTTCTCTTCCGGTTTATAACGTCTTTGTACTTAATCCGTTGTATATGTACTATGTACTCATCGATATTTTAGTCTTGGAAAACTTTTTATTAGTTAATCTTACCATACAGTATCGGGGTTTTGCTCATTGTTGAGGGCCGTGTAGTGACCTTTCCACGTCCATTTTGTCTCTATATGATAGTCTCACTTGCAAGCCTTATCATTCTCTGATGAGGAAGCGATTACCCTTTATAGAATACCTTAGCACATTCGCTTTATATATTTCTGTTGTTTAATATTTTTTTCTGTGTATTGTTTGTGGATTTTGTTGTTTTATCAGACCGTTTGGATCTAGCTTAAAGTAATTATTCTGCTGATAAAGAAATCATTCTGTCTTACTTTGTAATGTCGGTCGCTGTATATCCAAGTATACTTCATAGAGCAATATCATCAAGTCTTAGAAAACCCGACCCTGTGCAATGTCCATGTTAAATTGGTGCACAAAATTTGGTAAAGACAAAAAAAGGGGAAACTTTTCAGTCGCATTCAACTGTAAAGATGAAAATTGTTTAATGTTCTTCTTTTAAACTTGCGTAAATGAACAAAGAGTCTTTACCTCTGCAAAAATATTGTTTCTACGTGGTAGCATGATGCATATCTTCGAATGAGCTAATAAATAAGTTTATACATACAACCGCAATTTGACATCTCTACACCAAAATAAGACTTCAAATTATAAGATTAACTGTGTCCATTTTAACTCAAAACTAAAGGTCTTAAATGATGTGAAAATAAAAAAAAAAATGATACTTTACATTAATTTAAACCACTTGATAGATATAAATCAGGTCGATGGTTTTGAAATTTGAGTTATTCATTTTGTCGTACTAGGGCCTTATATAGCTTACTACATTATATGGGTTTAGTTCATTATTGAAGGCTGTAGCGTGCCCAATAGAAGTTTACATCCTTGTCATTTTGGTATCTGGTGGATAGTGGTCTCATTGGCAAGCATACTGAAACCTCTTTTTTTTATAAGAACAAATTTTACCTGAGATTGCAAATATTTAATAACATTAAAAAATAGTAACAATTTTACTTTATCCAATCGGCCTTTTATTTGGCGAAATTTGTCCTTTAACCATAAAAACTTATGGCTTAACCATTACATATTATGATAGAGTGTGACAGTCTTTCTCAAAAATGACAAATCATGAAATGGAATATGATTATGTCAAAAAGATGAGTGACTTGAAGATATAAATAAATATTGAAGATATTCGATTTTGACTTAATCATGTTAATTACATTCCGTAAGATATGCTGGTGTCCTACTCTGAAATGTATGCTATCAAATGACCTACGTAAATAAATAAGTTTGAGATAGTAAACTGGTAGATTTCATACCCAGCTGTATCGGCCATCACGTGACTTTATCGCCGTCCAAGTTGCTGATGTGGCTCCTATAGATCTTTTGAAATATATGTTTATTTTTGTATTCAAATATACGCTTTTATGTTGATCCGTATAGTTTGACAATAATTATACTGTTTATGTTTATTTATATTGCATGTGATTTTTACAAAGTAAACTTGATTACGATAAGATAAGATAAGATATTTTATTGGTTTAAAATCCAAAATTACGTACAGGATTGTTACCAAAGACAATAAACATTGGCTATACATAAGCATATATATATATCTGTCCACATTTATAAACATTGTATATATAAATTTGTATATCCCCTCCATTATTAAAAGAAAATATTGTAACATTGATAAATGTATCTAATCTGTGCTGAGGAAGTGGTACCACAAAGTTATTCATTACGATTACGTGTTCATAGTTAGTTTATATATATATCTTATCCGCACTGTTTATATAAATGCGTATTAGTGTTTATAGTCCTATTATCTATACTCTGCTTGAGAAAAAGTTGCATGTATAAATGAGTGGAAATGACTGTATTGTTTTGTTAACTTTCTAAAAAGATATGCTTATCAGGTTAATATAATTCAAACTGTATAAAGTTTCTGCTGGAATAGATGTATATCTTTTTTTTCTCGTGTAGATATTCAGATCAAATAAGAGTTATCTCTCTTTATACAGATGACTGACTCTCCACTACCATATGTTTGTAAATTGTATTCTATAATATTGTCTCATTTATCATCACAATCAGTATGTGGGTATTCTGTTAAAGATGTTCAAGTGAATGTGAATCAGTTTTTTTTTACTTTTCGTTTGATTAAATGCATGTGGTGGGTCCTTCGGTTAAAGTTTTACTAGTTATACTTTAGACATATCTCTTAGGTGTGTTCGACTTTTGATTCCGGTTATAGAAACTAGGCCTACTTATTCTTGAACTTGTTTTATCTTATTACTTTTCATTTTGTTTATGTAGTTTTTTTAATTGATTGTAGACAAAACTTTTTGTCATACTTTAAGCATAGTTTATTCATTTATTTGTCTTCATGACAGCGGAAGTGTCACCTATAAATTCGAACACTTCTTTTAAATCTAACCAAAACCCAAAAAGCAAAGTAGAATACAACATGATGATTTTACACTGATTGCGTGGACATTTGTATAGATAGACCTGTTTCTCATTTAAAACAAAGTCCTGTTTCTCTGAATAATTAGAATGTCATCAAGGATTGAAATAAATTTCAATCGGTTGTTAATAAGATGTGAAAATATGGCGAAAGAAAGAAGTTTGTGGGACTGGAGAATTGAGAAGGTATACCTGTAAAGGCTGTATACAGGCATATGTTTATCTGTCAATCGACAACCTATGTGGTTTTTAGGGGATGGTTGAAAGTGGCAATATTCAAACATGACCTTTGTTAACCTAGGGGGCGGATTCAAAACTCCTGTGCAAGGGCTAAAAGTTGAACAAAAAGGGGTTATATGGGAGATGTTGAGAGACAGTCTTCAAATTATTCTGTGAGGGAATCCTGGTGTATAAAGTAGGTCCAATCTCCCTGTGTGTGTGTAGGATTCCACCACAAGGGATGTCTTTTATGTTTGGTGATATTTATAAATACACATGCAGAGCCAAGTCTGGTCGAATAAGGTACACATACATGTATGGTCACTACACTGCAAATTAAAATGTCATTTTAACAACTAAACTAATGCATTGTAATAATGAAAATCTAAAATAAACATTTAAAAAAATAGTTTTTAGCAACAACAAAAATACTGTACGGTTTTCTCAATCGCTGATCAATATACGCTTTGAATATATTGAACTGATCGATAAAAAGTGTTAACAACTCTTTTGTTTTACAATATTTTTTCGTGAAATTAAGAAAGAGCTAATATTTCTCATATGTAACTATTTATTCTGTGAAATTAATAAATCTATAAGACAATAATTTTAATTTTCCAACTAAAATGATGGTGATCATCGGTTCACATTTTAATCTTGAATTTTTATTATCATAAAATTTTTATTCTTGAAATGACTTGACAATAATTAGATCAGGAAGACTACTTTCAACATTCTATTTAATATAATATATATATCATTAATAATTGAATATTTACAAAATTCTTCATTGTTCTAGCTGCCACCTGATTATATAAGATAATTCAATTAAATGTATTTGATGTCTCAGGTGTGATAATTTAAATGACATGTTAATTGGTGATTACCACAAGTGTCAAAATTGGTTAATCTAATTAAATTTCGGTACTTTAATTGTGTCGGTGAACTTGCTATGGTCAACATTAATTTTGGACTATAAAATATAGAATATATATGTAAATGCTCAGTTCAACGATTTCTAAATGCATACACAATTTGGTAAAAATCCGAACTATTGTTAAATGATTGGAGAAGATACACACACAACATAAAATTCCAAAAACAGTCATCGAGCTTGAACTTTTAATTGACAATTAAAAAGACACACTTATAATATGTTATAAGTCAACTCAAATATTACTGTCCTACAACAACTTTAGATATCTTTTTGAAGTTTTATATATAACTCTATAAACAGAGAAAACTTTGATGTACACACATTCGCCAATTGTTTGAACAACTCTAGATATCAGCTTAACAAATTACTTCATTAATCACTTTAATAAATAATTACGTAATGTACATGTATCTAAACATTTTCAAAAATGAATTAAAATTACAAAAAAGATTAAAATGTATTTAAAATATAAATGTCACAAATATAAATATATTATGGTTTTAATAGCTAGGGATTTTCTGTATGATCCCAATTTATATTGGCCATTCAGTTGGGGGGCGTAGCGTTAATGAGTCGACCCTAAATAGAAAAATTAAATTTTATTTGAATAATGAATGTCAAATTATAAAAAGAATTAACAATTACACGATGATAATGTATGAAGTATTATTATTTTGAAGTTCTGTGGTAAATTTTGGGTGTTCTGTGGTAAAAAGACGCTCCCTTTTCAGGAGTATTTAGTTTGCTCATTGCAAGGAGAAATTTGTACCCCTATCAAACATATCAACTTTGCCATACTACATGTAAGTCTAAAATTCCAGTCCTTCGTTCTTATCAAACCACATTTTAGATATATTTGTAATTTGTGAACTGAATGTTTATTAAATATTTGCCACTGGACTTGAAGCAAACTACAATCAATCAATTAATCAAGATTTCTTCAGAGTTTCACAACTTATTTACACATCTTATAAAACATATTAGTAATCAAATGAATATATGATGGTAAAAATTATGGAAAATTGTTGTTGTGTATTTTTATATTCAAATCTTTATTCTTTGAAAATGTCATGAATGTTAAAAAGTATGGCAAAAGAATCTATTTTTTTTTTAAATTTTGAAAAAAGTAACTTCTTGTTTAATATTGATCATGTCTATATGATCCATTGTCAAGTAGTGATTTTTATTTGAAGCTCTAGTAGAAGATAGCGGAAAGATACCAAAGGGACATTCAAACTCATAAGTCGAAAATAAACTGACAATGCCATGGCAAAAAAAGAAAAAAACCAACAGTACACAAAACACAACATAAAAAACAATAGACTGAGCAACATGAATCCTACCAAAAACTGGGGATGATCTCAGGTGCTCCGGAAGGGCAATTAAGATAGTAGGGTACCCCCTCACCCCTTTTTTAGGTCACAAGGCCTAGGTCACGTTAAGAATATCACTCAGTTGGTCAACAGTTACTTTTTTTACGAAAATGTTTTTACCTCGTCCTGGGTTGAATTTATAAGATACATGTAAGCAAAAACTCACTGGTGTTTTTTCTTTTCATTTTTGTATGTAGTTTTTTGTTGTTGACATGTCATCTGTAGTTATTTCAAGTTAATTCAGCATCCTGTTCATACCTTGTACTATGAAACTTTCAATATGAAAGAGAGGTTTTGAATGAGTGAAACCAAACCACCAATTTGTGTTTATTTACACAAATTACAAATATCAAATAGGATGAACAAAATCTTTTGCAATTCCATTTCATTATTCTTCTGTGCCACGAAGGATAATCATTTTTGCTTGTCTTGTACCTAAGATGATGGGGGTTTTTAACGACCTTGACTGGCTATAAAGCCCTCACACGGTCGTCATAAGAGACCTTAGGGAATTTAATGACCCATATATCGTATTATGTCACTAGCACACTGTGCAATTAATGATACATGTATAGTTATTATAAATATTTTGAGGTATATGGAAGATGATATTTAATGTTTCCTTTTATAATTACAGTATGTTGTTGCACTGCAAGACCAGTTATCTCAGATTAAGAAGTCCTCAATGTAAGTACAGTGTATACTTTACGGTACTTTACATTAATTAAAAAAAAATCACCAGCCAGCTTCATACTAGTCTAAACTCTGCAAGCCTCAAACTGGTCAGATTTAGATATAAAGGGCTTCTATGAATTGAATATGGGAAGGTAGAAATTTAAGTTATAAATAAGGTATGGATTATTTATGAATGTGCATCCATTTCATGTATGCAAAATAACTTTAAAGAAAATAAGTTGTTAGTGGCGGCAGGGTCTTTGCATTCATTAATGAATGAGCCATAAGACCCTGATTTTTTATACGCCCGTTTACGGGACGTATTATGGTATACCGCTGACCGTCTGTCCGTCGTCAACATGTCGGACATTAATTCAAAAATGCTTTAACCAATATGCATGAAACTTTGATGAATTGTTTATATCTATTGACGTGAGTTCCCTTTCGTTTTATTTAAATTCCAGATTTACCGTTTCCAAGTTTTGGGGTTTTATTCATTAAAAAAGGGGGGATTTTCCAGTTTTCGGATAATAACTCAAAAACAATTTCACCAATTTGCATGAAACTTTTGTGAATTGTTCATATCTATTGACGTGAGTTCCCTTTCGTTTTATATAAATTCCAGATTTACCGTTTCCAAGTTTTGGGGTTTTATTCATTAAAAAAGGGGGGATTTTCCAGTTTTCGGATAATAACTCAAAAACAATTTCACCAATTTGCATGAAACTTTTGTGAATTGTTCATATCTATTGACCTGAGCCTCCTTTCGTTTTTTTTATAAATTTCGGATTTACAGTTTCCGAGTTTTGGGGTTTTATTCATTAAAAAAGGGGGGATTTTCCAGTTTTCAGACAATAACTCAAAAACAATTTCACCAATTTGCAAGAAACTTTGTTGAATTGTTTATTTCTATCGACATGAGCTCCCTTTTGATTTTTATAAATTTCAGAATATATATTTATGGGGTTTTATTCATTACAAAAAGGGGGATTTTCCAGTTTTCGCACAATAACTCAAAAATGCTTTCACCATTTTTTATGAGACTTTGGTTAATTGTTTATATCTATTTTTGTAAGCTCCCTTTTGATTTTTATAAATTTTTGATTTTACATTTCAGAGATATAAGATTTTATTTGTTAGCAGTCTGACAACAGATTTACTAAGTATTGCACAACAGCAAGAAATCTTTCATATAACCAATTTCAAGTTCTTTGACTACATTTATTCAGAAACCTATAATATATCAAATATTAAATTACAATCTGAATTCAGACCTGTATCAAGCTTGAATATTGTGTCCATTTTTGCCCCAACTGTTCAGGGTTGGACCTCTGCGGGCGTATCCAGCTGCGCTCATTATACATATAGTGAGCTGATATTTCTTTTTTAACTGGGGCATTGCCAATTTGGTGGCCAAGTGATCTAAGTAGTTCATTTGCAGTTATCACAAACCTTTCTGAGTTTCAACACTGAGGTTGTGAGTTCAAACCCAGCTCGTGGCAGATGCGTTCAACTCAAATCTTAATTGACTAGGATTGTCAGTTTTCCTGCTGAAGGTCAGTGATTATCTTTGGGAACTAAAACTTTCTTGACTAATAAAAACTGGTGCCATGATAAAGTCAAGAGTGCTGAAAGTTGGCCACTAGCAGTAAACACCAACAATCAGTCAATTTAAAACACAAGTGTGTTCTTTAACTTACTGATTTTTTTAGGTACAATTTACAAATATATCCTAAGATACAAGAACACTTACTCTTGAGATACTACTAGAACATGTTTTTCCTAGATATTACAACTTCTTTATTCATTAGATACTAGAACAATTATTCCTACATCTTCCTTATTTCAAAGATACTAGAACACATGTACCCTAGATACTCCAACTTTCTAATTTCTTTTAAAGATATTACAACTATGTAAAGATGATGTCTTTAGTGGAAATATAAAAAATTACTTGAATATTCATTTTGATTTTGTTTATCTTATTTTTCTTTCAGGAAGCCATGTCAAGATATGCTAAATGAATACACTCGTAAGGTGGAATTCTTGAAAGGTTTACTTCAGGCAGAAAAAATGGTAGTTGTTTTTCTTCAAACTGGAATTTTTATAATCATTTGACCAAAATAATAATAAAACTCTTTAATAATGATGTAACATTGAATATGAATTTAACATCATTCTTAATATGTTGAAATAATTTGTTCATTTGTATAGTGAATTTGAAAGTAACTGCATACATATTAACATTTAGTGGACGCTCAAAAAACAATTAATCTGACCGTTCGAAATATGTAATTTAAAAAAAATTAACATATAGAGAATATGCTTCTTAATGATTGTACAATTACATACTTTCATTAACTTATTCAGATGTTTAAGTCCATTTCTTTTTTCTTTACATGTAACAGCCAACTGTAACAGAGAAAGCATTAGCTGCAGAACAGCTTCCTAATGTGGCAAAATCTGCCAAGGGACATAACTCTGTTTCATCAGCAGAATTACAGAAAAAGACAGTTGCTAGACATCATAAAGATTTAAGAGAAGAGTTATTGGGACCTGAGAAAGATAAACTTGATGGTAAATTAGTCTAAAAACTTGAATGTTTTAATCAACAGAACATTTTTAGGTGTAACTGTACTTTTTAAGTATATACGCCCATATATTTCTCTGGATAAGCTTATAAAGTTATAGAAATATAAAACTTTTTTCAAAATAATGCTTTTAAAACAACAATCCCATTCCCCACATTCCCTAACAAGATTACTTAAGATCCCATAAAACTGTATGGTTGTCGAAATAATGTTAACAATCTATCGAAACAGCTTGTACATTGTGCTTGTATTTGTCGAAAGGGGCAAAAATCTTCTGGATAGTAAACTTTAACATTTATTCTCAGGTTTTAATTTTTGACAATGTCTGTTAAGAGTTAATTGATATGTTGATTTAAGGTTTCCATAATTAATTTTATATATTTCAAGTTGCTGAATTGATCTGTTAATTACAGGGTCCAATTGATAAAATAGGTACGTGCATAATAAAATGTATAATACAAGTGGTTGTTTTATAAAAAGGTCAACAGGGGTATTCTTCCCTATGCATGTGGTGGTTGTCCTTTTCATGATGTTCAAATCTGAACATTTTTTAACATGGGACAATTATTGAGATTTAAATATGTTTAAGAGAATACACAGGTTAATTGTGAAAGGAAATAAGACTCAACAGTTTCTTATTTAAAATGTTTTTTTTGTTGTGACCATAAGACTTACAGTTTTAATACCCAAAGCAGTTTTCAACCAAGTCTTTTCAACTATACTGTAACTGGTTTTTTTTTATCTCAAGCTGGAGAATAACAAATATGACATTATATGTGAAATAAATTTTCTAAATTTGCATTAAGATGTTTTTTGAGCATATAAGCAGATCTTTGGCAAAAGTAGGCATTTTACAAAATAATTAGTCCTTGGTTATGTTTAAGAAAAAAATCAGTGATATTTTGAAGATATTAAATGAATTCCATTCAATAAAATAAGGGTATGTCAGAAGTAGCGTTTGTTCTGCTTTCACATAGAAAAACTTTATAATTAATTTTTTTTATCAAAATAACTTTTCAGTAACTTTTTTATTGTAACATACTTTTAGTAAATTATACATCAATAGTCATTCCAGCCAGCAATAGAAAACTAAATTGAAAAAGTTAATACTATGTGTATGGAATGTTGAATATATCTTAAATATTTAGGGAGCATTATATCACAGATGACTTTAACAGAATTGGTAAATTGTTTTGTGTGTGTTGGGACCTTGATTGCTGAAGAAAAAAAAAGAGAGCTAGGATCCCTTAGAACAATATATGAAATCAGTTTCCTCTCATAATACTGTCCAGCTGAACCAAAACTTGACCACAGTTATAACTATAAAATTGTCTATTTTCTAAATATACGATTGTCCAACCAAATAGCAATTGTTACTTTGATACCTGATACCTCAGGTGGATTTGGCTATTCTTGTTAGGTCCATATCTTTCATATAACTTTTTACGTATTCAATTATTTATACATCCTTGATTTTCAAATTTTTAGGTTTGACCATTCCTGATGAAAAAAAATTAAGAAAAGCCCCTCTGACACACTTTATAATTTATAAAGTGTTATATTCATGTATAGAAAATGTTGATACAAAAGCATTTGAAAAAAAATGTTAAACCATAGGTCCAAATAAAACTAAACTTATTGTGCCAAACCATACCTGATCTGTCGACTTTATAAATGATGAAATATTGATATGATGATGGTATACATGTAATATGTTTATGAATCATTTCGCTCATTAATGCAATAATAAACAGAGTGGTCAGTTAATAGATACAGGCTTCATTGATCATCCTATTTAAACTCAATTTCATTTATAATTTTTTTCAAATCAGAATACCGGGTACTTCCTCTGTGAAAAAACTTCATAGAATATTTCTATGAATTTTCTTAGCTCCTGGTATAAATTTACATTTTGCTCCCTGCAAAACTCTTACCTAATTTGAAATGATTGTTTTTTAGTCTAAATAACTTTATCAATTCTCAAAGTTGTCTTTGTAGATAGTGGCTTAAGACAAAGGAATGTAAAAACAGACAAAGATATAGATATTGTTATACAACATCAACATCAGATGCATGAAAAACTGGCCGAGGAGATGCTACAATTGACCAGAAATCTGAAAGAGAGTATACGAGACTCTGGACAAATTGTCCGAGAGGATAATAAGGTATGCAGTTGAAATCTAAATAAACCAAAAGATCATGTAAAGTATTAAATAGCGATTTTTTATCATCATCTATGCAGTTGAAATCTGTAAAAACCAAGCGATCATTAGAATAGGGATGATTTATGACCATCCTGTTCTGTTCCCTTTAAATGCTGCATGTAGTCATGATCTCTATGTTTACATGTCTTTTTAAACAAAATACCTTGTATTTTTGAAGGATGTTTCACATAATATTTCTTGAAATTAGAAGCTTGGAACTTTTGAAAAAGTGTGGTTTCATAAAGATAAAGTTTCTCTTGCTTGATAATTTTTAGATATGTCAGAGTTATAGAACTTTAAGGTGTAATACCACCATTGTTTTTCCCCTATTAGTCTTTGTTAAATTTGAACTTTTCAAAAAATTGTGCTGAATTTATCTTTGTTTAAAATAAAGAAATACTTGGCATGAGTAAAGTTTTATCCTGTCCAGTACTATAGACAAAATTTCACATTTCATTGCATATAAGAAAATAACCATCACTGGAAGTTAACCAATCAAATGTTCACCCCTTTTTTTCCTGTGTACAAGCATTAGTAACCATGTAACCTCGAGTTTCCAAAATATTCTATAGAAACACCAAATAAAAAAAAAAGGTGCTTTGAAACACCCAAGATATGTGTTTATGACTCAGAATTTTTTTACTGCAATGAAATGTAGGATTAATTTCCTACAACTGACAAATTCAAGGGAATATTTTTTTTCCACCCTTTTTCGTATGCAACCGGATGTGATGTACTATGATTTGGTGATATTATATATATGCACCTTAAAAAAAATAACAGTTTTCAGAACCATTACTTGACTATGTTTTAAGGGATCTTTAAACTGTATTAAGCAATTGTTATCAATTATAGAGGAAAGATAAAGTATTTATACCAGTTATTTTTTTCATTTTGTTTCAGCAGTTATAGGACTTCACTTAGGCCAAAATAAATTAATTGTGTGTTTTCAGTTTCTTAACCCTACCTCCATTTCTAATGCCGACCCTAAACATTTTATTAATGTTTTTTTTTTTAAATCAAGATTTTTATGTCCGATTATTTGTTTAGAATACTATTGATCTGCAAAGCATTTGATAACTTCAATGATTTTCCAACCCTCATTTTGGATCCGAATTTTGGTCCCATTTCAAAAGAGAAATATGTTGTGTTTCTCCCAATTTTCAGCTCTTAAATTCCCAATGGTATACAGATATTGTCGCAAGATTTTGTTCTTGTTGTATCGTGGTTTTTTGTTTACAAATCTCTTAGCGCTTGGGGTATTTCAGCAGTAATCCTTATCGTTCACATATTGTGATGATTGCATTCTGTAATCGGTAATCGTAATTCTGCCAATCAAGGCACACCTCCAATCACATAGAGGAAAATGTCAGTACACAATAATTTACAATACAATGTGCATCACTTTATATATTAAAATATAAAAATTTCCGCTACCTCAAGAATTATTATATATATATTACGAAGCACAAATAAAACAATAAAATCTTTTGATAGAAATAAATTAAAATGTTCTTTTAGTGCAAAATCAACTGATTCTGGGACCAAGTGTGCCCTTTATGTCATTGCAGGGCCAAGCTACCTATACTACACTAGTTAGCATTTAGAAGTTAGATTTTCTACTGCCTAGGTTATCTAGATTAGCTAATAAAGCATAGCGCTTGTTGTGCAAATTATAATGCAACTGTCTTAACAGGGGTTCTAAAATATTACTGGTTTCCTCAAAAGCAGTTCTGTTTACATCAATGTCTACATAACAGAACGGGTTGATAATTAGTTGTATAAGATCAACTGGAAACGAGGTTGTAACTTTAGCTAGGATCAAGCTTCCATTATTTAGGATTTTTGACATAAGTGGTATTCTAGCCTCTTCTAACTTTTCACATAACAGGATAAAGTGTTCCACTGTTTCATCCGCTTTACTACAGAGTTTACAAATTGAACTGATATGATTCTTTGAAAATGATGCTTCATGGGTTTGTAGGATATAATTCCCAGTTGCAATTTTAAGACGTACAGGAATTTTTTTGATGTCCTTTAGATTTGCACTGACCGAAATTGCTAGAGGATGTACGGATCCAATGTTGTATTTATGGTCCATGAATTTAAGTGTTGAATATCCTTTTGATTCATCAATAATTTTTGAAGGCCAATAGTCATGAATTTTGGATTTAACTAGCTTTTTCCATTGAAATTTTGATAACGGGTTGTTTAAATAAACATACAAGTCAGTAATTTCATATTTTAAGCATAATTCCTTAATTTCAATAAACCAGCTGTGACTATTGTGGGGTTTTATCTGTAGCTGTCTTTCGGCTAGCCGCTATTCGATTGAATCACATTTCGCTCTAGATATGTTTCCAAATAGATTGATAGCTTTGACATGGATTTCAGCTTCAATAGGGAGCAATCTAAGATATTCCTCATCAGCTTTGCGCTTGAAACAACTGAAAGTTTATATCCATGACAAAGCAAAAAATTGACACATGTATGTATACAAACATTGAAGAACGATCATGTCTCAAGAAATTCTAAACGCTACACAAAGAAGTTAAAGGTGGCAGTTGGCAATAAATGTTGGAAGCTAGAAGCATTTGGATTTAAAAAGTCATTTTTACTCCCTTCTCAAAACACTGAGTCTTAGTGTAGACAGTGAACCACGATCATTTGAAACTGAAACAAGTGAAATTCAAATTCAAGCTGTTTCATCTGAGTCTAAAACATGTATTTCTAATGATGATAATGAACCTAGTGACACTGATGCTACAATTGAAATTCTAATTCAAGCTGTTAAATCTGAGTCTAAAACATGTAGTTCTAATGATGATCATGAAACTAGTGACACTGATGCTAAAATTGAAATTCAAATTCAAACTGTTCAATCTGAGTCTAAAACATGTAGTAATGATCCTGATCCTTGTGATACTGATGCTGTGTCACAGTCTCCCTCTTCTGGTAAAGTTTCTGATGCCAGAAAATTTAGTTATAAATAAAATCAGGAGGGATGGGTTGATTTTTAATTTTCAATTTCAAATACCTGAAGTGATAAGTTCACAGTCATTTACTGTTCTAGAGTTATGCCCCTTTTTTACTTGGAAAATTGCAAAGCTTGAGTGGGGGCATTTGTGTCCTCAGAAACATTCTTCTTTTATTTTTAATTCTTTTCCTTTAAAAAAATTTGCTATTTTTGTATGCAATTCATACAGCCATTCCTTCTAATGCAGGATTTTGCATTTTACAAGGGCAGGGTATTACCCTTCAAAAAATCATACTCAACCTCTGCTTAGCATCAGTTCACAATGTTTTCAAGATGTAATAATCTGCTCCCACCCATACCCTGTGTGTCATTTACATTGTTAGGTTTGACCAGGCCCTAACATACAATGATTTTTAACTGCCATTTTTGGTTTAAGATAATTCTTCAGCAAGAACATATTCCTATTTTGACCCATGAAATGCATAAAATTTGCATTAAATATAAATAAGAAGATGTGGTATGAGTGCCAATGAGACAACTATCCCTCCAAGTCACAATGTGTAAAATGTAAACAATTATAGGTCAAAGTATGGCCTTCAACACGGAGCCTTGGCTCACACCGAACAGCAAGCTATAAAGGGTCCCAAAGAGACTAGTGTAAAACAATTCAAACTGGAAAACCAATGGTCTAAGCTATATAAAAAACGAGAAACACTTATGAACCACACCAACAAACAAAAACCACTGAAAAACAGACTCCTGACTTAGGACAGGTGCATAAAAATGCAGGGGGTTTAAACGTTTTAACAGGTGCCAACCTTTACCCTAACATATTTTCATATTTCTGACTCAGAACTAAAACAGAAAATTAAAAAATCTGTAGATTTAAGTACTATGCTAAATATTAAGGAATCAGGCAAAGGGTGGCACATCAATGATTTGATTTGGAACCTTTTTCTGCTGTCAACAATAAAAAAAAAATAAAACATTTTCGTAAAATAAATTGTTTTAGCTACCTACCCTACCTAATTTTTTGGGGTGAAATAGGAAACACACAATCTATTTATTTTGGCCTTATCAAAATATAGCCAATATTTGATGTGTGTCTTGCTAAACAAAAAAACAAAAACTGGCCACCACAAAACAGCCAATAGTGCTGAAAGAGACATTAAAACACCAAAAATCAATCAATTGATCAATCTTGCCAAACCAAGCCTGGTTTTCTTTCACCTAATCTTCAATCTAATAACAGTTTATTTTTCTGGAGTTTTAAAAGTCCTTGAAATAAGGTCAACTTACTCATCATGTACATGACTTGGACAATACTAAAATGTAAATACATTTTGAAATAGTATAAACTTTGCTAGATAAAGATTAGTGCAAATGTTCTATTAGAACTATAAATATAAGATTGTAAATGTACATGACTTTGGTCAGACTCATATCCAAATGAACTACTAGTATATTAAACAAACAAAATTTATACTGTATTTATGATAGGAGATATAGTGCCATTTGTTTCACATGTAGTGGCAATAAACTTCATGTAAAGATCCATATATGAGACAAGGGTTTGAAAGAACATTCATCCTATCTAATTATATATATAATTGTACCAAATATTGCCCGTTCTCATATGGTGCTTCTTACAGTTTGCACACACATATATACTGTTAATTAACATGAGAGATTCTGACATATCTCTATGTAAGGTTTTTAGCTCACCATTCCGAAGGAACTGTTGAGCTTTAGCCATCACTTGGCGTCCGTCGTCGTCCGTCTGGTGTACACTATTTCAAGCATCTTCTTCTCTGAAACTACTGAACCAAGTCCAACCAAACTTAAGCTGAATGATCCTTAGGGTATCTAGAATAAAGTTTGTGTTTTATTTTCTGTTTCGTCAAAAAACATGGCCACCATGGCTAAAAATAGAACATAGGGGTAAAATGCAGTTTTTGGCTTATATCTCAAAAACCAAAGCAGT